TGTACTGGATGGCCTTGAACCCGCAGCGCGACCAGAAGCTGAAGGGGGTGGGCTACGACCTGGACGACACGGACAACAGCCACGTATACGCCTGCTTGCACTTGGCGTTTTACAACTTAAGGTACCGTCAGCTCACTCCCTCCAACTGGCACGTTAGCGAATGCTACGCAGCCAAGGAATCAGAACTACCTGGGCCGAAAGGGAGACGCCTCCTACACATTCGTCGAGTGTTGGGCACCGGTTTTTTTCCCGCATCTTGCATTCGAGCTCGGCAGCCTGCGCAGCTACCACCTGAGCATCACGGATGCGCACAGGGCAGAAGACGAGAAACAGCGATCATGGCCTCGATGACCACGGCGTACACCCTGAGGCGGCTGCAGTGCTTCTGCGTGGACAGCTTCAAGGACATGACCAACGCCTTCCCTTCGGTGGGCTGGAAGCACATGGAGCTGGCTGCCGAGTCGCTGGTGAGGGATGGAGACCTCCGCCTCGCACTACAACGCATTCGTCGAGCGCAAGTACTTCTACCATCTGCCGAAGGTTTACTTCATTTCAGACCGACAGAGGGAGGACTGATGGGGGACCCATTCATGGTGAACTGCTTCCTCCGCGCCTTTGCATGCGCTATCGAGCTCTGGTCTTTACAGTGGCAGGCGGGAGATGACGCAGACAAAAGCTAAAGGTCAAGTGTCCGATCACCAACCTCACCGTGGATATGAGCCTGCACATCTACGCCGACGACATCAACAATAAGATATTGCAGCACCCGCCCGCCGAGAAGGACAACGTCAACCTGGACAAGCCCAGGCGCAAGCTGACCCACTGCGACGAGATCTTGAACGACAACCTGTCCAACGTAGGTCTTGCGCAGAACACCAGCAAGCAGGTCAACGTGATGGCCTGTCACGGACTGGGCAGTGGCATTGCCAGGCGTGAGCTGCGGCTACGGGAGCAACGGCAGAAATGGCCAGGGCAACTCGTAGACCAAGCGAGATATCTGGGCCCGATTATTACCAGTATACAGAGTTTCGGAATCGAGCTGACGAGGAGAGTGCAGGCTGCCAAGGCGGCTTTCTACTCGATGGGCTCATTCTGGAGTGCGCCGCGCATCCCATGGAGATGGAGGAGGACTGTGCTGTTGGGGCGAGTGGTCAACGCCGCCTTTTCTTCAGTCGAAGCTTTCCTGCCGACCAAGCGCCAGTGCGACACCCTCGACGCAGCTATAGCATCGCTGGCGAGGGTCGCTATGAGGGGAAGAGCCTGCACCTGGAACGAGAATGGCACTGTTCGGTCGCTGACCAACGCAGAAGTCCTCGCCCACTGTAAGATTGCAAGAGCGGAAGTGGAACTACGTGTCAGGCGGCTCAAGTGGATCCAGCAAGCGGCCAATGACAGGAACAGCAACGCCCAGTTCTTCGCGGCGGTGTTTGGCACGACCAGCGGCCAGGCCCTGCAAACGGTGGCTGACGACGGCGCTTTGTCGAGTCAGGCGAACCCCTGGGCCAAGCGCGCACAGGAGGGCGTCAACCAGCTGATCAACTGCTCAGAAGAAGCACAGAGCCTGCTGGAGACCGCAGGCCCTCACATCGTTGTTTGGCTAAACGACCCGCCCGCGCTTCGGGGGTGACTTCTGCAGCGTCGACGTAAGCGTTCTCAGAGCCGAGGAATTCCGAACGAACGTCCCGCCCCCGATATGTGCGCCCCAAACGACCACAGAAATGAACGAGGAGGAAAAGATGAAGACCGATGGGGAGGTGGAGGGTTTTCAAGTGCAAGGTGGAGGTGGGCGGCAGGAGCTGTGGGAGGACATTCTATTCGAAACGAGCTCTTCGTTCGCACGTTCGCCAGGTCCACAATATCGTCAACGTGTGCTCGTCCTTCAACCCCGCGAACATTTGCATCGTCTGCGAAACCGCCTTCGCTTCTGAAGTCACAGCTCTTTGGCACCTCGCTCGGTCTATTCAAAGAGGGTGTTGCGTCGTCGACCTCGCTCGAGCCCTAACCGCGGCACAGGGGCCAAAAACACTACACTGCCCTGGTTGTGAACGCGTAGCTGGATCTTGGCTCGAGCTTCGACTTCATCTGGCGCGGCACCTGCTGTTTCTTCCTGACATGCGCGCGCCCGCCTCGGTGGGCAAGAGCTTCTGCTATGGCCGACTCGGACACCGACATGCCAGACTGGATGAAGGACGCGGGCGTGGGAGCAATGCCAGCGTGGAGCCTCGCGAGGGGCAGGCGCTCGGCAGGATTGCAAGAAGCAGCGGTCGACGCGAAGAAGGCCAAGGCAGACGAGCTCGTCGCAGCAGCCGCAGGCTCGGCGGGCAAAGGCGCCTCCAAGGCGCAAGTCGTGCAGCAACTCGTCCTCCTGCTCAGCAAGTTGGTGTGCAGCATGGCAGGGGGCCCCAGGTCGGTGATCAGCGTGGTCTTCGTGACGGTGCTCGTGCCGTTCGCGATGCCAGCAGTGGCCGCAGCCGTGCAGGCGGGCAAGGACTACCACAAGGCGGCGATGAAGCTGAGGGACGACCACAAGGAGGACGAGACGGTGGACACGGCGCAGCTGGGGAGCCCGCACATCTACGCGTGGAAGGACTTCATCCGCGCCCTGCTCGAGAGTACCGAGGAAGGCCTGGCCAGGAGCACGCTCACCACCTACGGGAAGGAATACACCATGAAGAAAGATCTGTTCGAGGCGGAAGAGGAGGTGAAGTACTTCAGGGTGCGTGTCCCGCAGGGCAAAGAGATGAAGAAGAAATCCAAGCGCATGGAGGGCAAGGTGCGTCTCCAATGGGCACTGTCAACCAACAAGGTGGCACAGGACCTGGGCGCGATCCTCAGGGGCGAAGTCGCGCGCCAGGGCGGAGAAATCACGATTGGAGCAGCACCGAGGGGTGTCTTGGAGAGGGGCGCCAGAGCGCTGTTGAACAAGCTCGACGGCGCGTAGGGGAGCAAGAGCTGAGAAGGATGACGGCTCTCGCCAACTCCGCTAGACTAGAGAGTCTGGTTTCCAGAGGCTTCTTGAGTAGGGAGTCCGTCCTCGCCTCTTTCACTTCCTCTCTCTCTCCGAGCAGAATCTGGAGGACTCCAGAGGCCGCTTGATTCCGTTAGCGAAAATTCAACCGCGCCCCAAAGGGGGGCAAGGTAAAGGCAAAGGTAGGGGGAGACAAACTCGTCCCCCTCAGAGCGGGAGGGGGTAGGGGCCGCCCGTCTGCTTTGCCCTGGCAGGGGGGGTGCCGTGTGGCCCCCCCCTGACCAGGAGAAGGCAGCGGGTTGCCCTCTCCCCCTCCGCGTTAGGCTGGAGGGGCTGCCACCCTTGCGCCTCGCGTCTTCCCCGAGAGGGCTGCAGGGGGGCCCGTGTTTTCCACCAGTGCCAGCGCAGGAAAGAGTTGCAGCCTGAACGCGGGAATGCCGCCCAGCGATCAAGACTCGTCAGATAGCGCTGCTTGCTTCGCCAAGGGATGTCTACTAAGTCTAAGTCTCCTCCTCCTCCTCCTCCTTCTCCTCCTTCTCCTCATCCTTCTCCTCCTCCTTCTCCTTGTCCTCTCCCTCCTCCTCCTCCTCCTCCTCCTCCTCCTCCTCCGCATCCTCCTCCTCCTCCTCCTCCTCCTCCTCCTCCTCCTCCTCCTCCTCTTCCTCTCCTCCACCTCATCCTCCTCATCCTCCTTCTTGTCCTCCTCCTTCTCCTCGTCCTCCTCTTCCTTCTTCTCCTCATCCTCGTCGTCGTCGTCCTCCTCCTCATTCTCCCCCTCCCCACGCCCTCCCGAACGTGGTCCTGGCCCGCCGAGGCCCGGGGGTCCTCATCGGGTCCATGCTGCTCGCCGCGCTCGTCTGGGCGTACATGGCCATCGTGCAGGCCGCCTCTGCCCGGCATTCCCCTTGCCTGCCTGCGTTGGGCGTCGTCGTCGTAGGCGTCAGCGTCGTCATCGTCGGCGGCGTTTTCGCCGTCGTCGTGTGCAGCGTTGTTGTCGTAGGGCTGCAGACAAAGGGGCCCATCGTGGCCCCTGAAGGGGCCCTTGAGGCCCCAAAAAGGGGCCTCAGGGCCCGCACATTGCACCTCTCTTTCGCCCCCAGTTGATCGGCCTCCCATTCAGGGACGTCCAACGGCCGCCCTGCTGCCTCTGCAGCTCTGGAGCGGGCCTCCATCGCCACGAGGGAAGCGGGCCCTGGGGGAAGCGGGTCCTGCGTCTGTTCGCCGTGTTTGGCTTCCCGAGGGGCCTCCACGGACCCTGGGGCCGTCAGACATCGACGGATGAGGGGCCGGTCCCGGGGGGCGGGCGGAGGAGGAGGAGAGGGAGTGCCTGCTCCTGCCGCCGCTCCTGCGACTGCCGCCATCCTTTTGCCTCCATCTCCCCCACCCAAAATCACCATAACCAGCGTCACCATCGCCAGCTTCAATCGTCCTTCTCCCAAGCGTGAACTTGTCGTTCTCCTCCTCCTCCTCCTCCTCCTCCTCCTCCTCCTCGCCATCATCATCATCATCATCATCATCATCATCATCATCATCATCATCATCATCATCATCATCATCATCATCATCAGCATCAGCATCAGCATCAGCATCATCATCATCATCATCACCCTCATCATCATGAGCGTCAGTATCATCACCCTCATCACCACCACCATCACCATCATCATCTTTATCTTCATCGCCATCATAATCACCATCATCATGAGCATCGTCGTCATCATCATCAGCATCGTCATCATTACCATCACCATCACCATCACCATCACCACCACCATCACCATCACCATCACCATCACCATCACCACCATCATCATCATCATCATCATCAGCATCGTCGTCGTCGTCGTCGTTGTCGTTGTCGTCGTCGTCGTCGTCATCGTCGTTGCCATCACCAGTATCACCACCGCCGCCATCATCATCACCATCACCACCATCATCATCACCACCACCACCACCCTCAGCACCATCATCATCATCGTCACCAGCATCATCACCATCATCGTCATCGTCATCATCCTCACCACTTCATCCCCAAGCCTCCTCGAGGCGCCCCCCCCCTGGCCGAGCCGCGCGGCGCTTGGCGGGCCGCGGCCTCGTCTCACCGCGCGGGCGCCCGCGCGCCCCGGCCTCCCCTCTCTTCCTCAGGGCTCCGGGCGCTGGCTGCTCAGGTTCGGGGGCGGAAAAGAGGGGGGTGAAGACTAGGGGGGGGTGGATATCATGGCGGGGGCCATGATGTTTCCCCAGATTTCATGGCGCCTCTTATTAGCGTCCCTGGCCCCCCCGCTGGGCCGCGCACATACCGCCGGTCATGATGTCCACCCCCCCCTCTTGGACACCCCCCTCTTGGCCGCTCCCGACAGGTCCTGGGACGCTCCCGGAGAGTGCGTCGCCCTCAGGGGTGCCGAGTACCGCCTATCTCCTGGGCGGAGGGACGCGGGGGGGGCCCGCGGAGGCAGAACTCGGGGGCCCCGGACGGTGTGGTGGCCACAGCGTTTTTTGTGTTGTCCTCCTCAGTACTGTCGAGGCGTTGACCTAAGGAACCCTAAGTATGGAACGAAGCTCCTTTTTCCCATAAGTTAACTTCGATTTCCCATGGAAAGCCGCAGGAAAACCAAAGGCACAGTGTAAAACAACTGAGGAACACCGAGCCCCTCCCCAACGAAAAGGGTTCCTCCTTCAGGGCCCCGACTGTAATGTCTTCCTCCTCAGGAGCGAGGAGGAGGAGGAGGAGGAGGAGGAGGAGGAGGAGGAGGAGGAGGAGGAGGAGGAGGAGGAGGAGGAGGAGAGGAGGAGGAGAAGGAGCAGCGACAAAGGTGCGTAGGTAGCGTGTTTCTGTGTCGTCCTCCTCAGTAGTGTCTTCCTCCTCGACTGCCAGGAAGGCTGGATGCACATGGCGCGGCTGGCCTGGGCGAGAGTTGGATGCACATCTGATTGCCAGATGTCTTTCGGGCGCTTGGCCCTGGAATGGCCAGGCACGCGGGCCCTCCACATGCGCGTCCAGCAAGTGGCCTCCACATGTGCTGCGTGTGACTCCAGTCATGTGTGTTTCCAGCTTCCTGGTAGGGCTTCAGCCTCCTTTTCCTCCTCTCCTGTTCCCTTTAAATATGTCTCGCATTGCATGTGTCCAGACCAGACACGCCAGAATCCAGAGGCGGGCGGAAGCCGGCGGGAGGCCAGCGGAAACGGGCGGAAGCAGAGGTCGTCCCCCCAAGAAATGCACAGTTCGGGGGGGGTTCAGGACTTTGGGCTGCATCATCTGTTCCCGACCCTCCTGTGGAGTTGGGTCCTGTTTTGAACGCACAGCGCCGCGCCCCTCATGAATTCATGGGCGCTAGGCGTTGATGGCTCTGGTGTCGTGACCGACGCAGCCTCCCCCCCTTCTCCCTCCTCCTCCTCCTCCTCCTCCTTTTCCTCCTTCTCCTCCTCCTCATCATCCTAATTCTCTTTCTCCTCCTGAGCCTCCTCCTCGGCTCCACAGGGAGCTCCACCTATGGCCCCAGTGGGAAAGTTCGCGTAGCGTCGCCCAGTACACTTCAGGACACTTTGTCACGGATCGTGCCTCACCAGTGGGTGTGTTCGCATGTGGGCCTCCGCCCATTCCAGCACACCACTGACGCGGCACATGCCACACATGGTTTTCATCGCAGCAGTCAGTCCGCCCGAAGTCCAGGAACTTCCTCTTCGAGGCGGGCGGCGGCAATGGCTGGGCCCGAGGCGCTCATGTGGCCCGCAGGCGGCTCCGAGCGACGAACGTATGCATTCCTTACCCTCGCTGTCTGGATACCGAGGCGCGATCCCATGCGTGCGCCTTCCCCTGGACGCGTCCCGCCTGGAGCATCCGCGGGCGTTCAGGGTCGAGCGCCGCCAGTGCCCAGCATCGGCCGACATCTGCCGATCTGCGCTACATATCAGAGGGCCGCGAGGAGGAGGAGGAGGAGGAGGAGGAGGAGGAGGAGGAGGAGGAGGAGGAGGGAGGAGGAGGAGGGAGGAGGGAGGAGGAGGAGGAGGAGGGAGGGAGGAGGAGGAGGAGGAGGAGGAGGAGGAGGAGGAGGAGGAGGAGGAGGAGGAGGGGAAGGAGGAGTCGCTCCAAGGTCGAACGACCCATGCGGTGCCAGGAACAGGCGCACCGGTCGGCACGACACGAGCCTGCCGTATCCATGGGGCCGCGGCGGAGGCGTCCCGACAGCGATGCCGTGGGTATGAGTATGTATGCCCGTCGTCGTCGTCGTCGTCGGCGGCGGCGGCGGCGGCGGCGTCGGCGTCGTCGGCGTCGTTGGCGTCGTCTGCGTCGGCGGTGTCGGCATCGGCGTCGGCTTCGGTGTCGTCGTCGGCGTCGGTTTCGTCATCGTCGGCGTTGGCGCCGTCGGCGTCGTCGGCGTCGGCTTCGGTACCGCCGGTGTCGTCGGCGACGGCGTCGTCGGCGGCCGTCGTCGGCGGCCGTCGTCGGCGGCCGTGCCGTCGTGTCCTTCCTGCCCACGAGGCGGGCTCGCGCGCCTCGCGTCCTGGGCCGTGCCGATGGCGGCCCGCTCGTGGGCTGGCCTGCTCGGGCGCTGGGGCCCCGAGGGCGCGGATGCGGCGATGGCCACGGACCCGTGCTGGTCGGGCCGCTTCGAGCCGCAGTCCGTGGGGGGCGGCGAGGAGGTTCGGGTCAGGGACAGCGTTAGGGGGGGGGGTTCGAGGTTCGGGGAGGAGGAGGAGGAGGAGGAGGAGGAGGAGGAGGAGGAGGAGGAGGAGGAGAGGAGGAGGAGGAGAGGAGGAGGACGAGGACGAGGAGGAGGGGGAGGAGGAGGAGGAGGAGGAGGAAAAGGAGGAGGAGGAGGAGCAGGTTCGAGGTTCGAGGTTCGAGGTTCGGGTTTTTCGGCCGTTGTCGTCGGCTCTCGGCGGTTGATCGTCTTCGGGACGCCTTCCCGCGGCCGCGCCGCGCCGAGAGCGCTCTCGGGGTGTCCGGGTCGTCCTGGGCGGCCGTCGCATGCCCGAGCTGCGACCCGAAGCCAAGGGGCAACGTCCGGGCGGGATGGGCTCACGGGGGGGGGAGGTGCATCGACTCCCAATCGCTCTTGGATCGTCGATAACGTGCCTGGCAGCCCGCCTCGGCCCAGGGGCGTGGGTTTCGCTATTGGAGGCCCAGTGCCGGTCTCTCTGCGACGAGTCGCCGACTCCAGGTCGAGGTCCCCCCCCCTGAGCTAGTGCCCTCCTGGCTTTCCCCCCTATCTTGGTTTTCGGACGTCGGGGTTCATGCCGATCCGATTCTGGAAATGCGCGATCCGATCCGATCCGACCCGATTCCGATACTGCGACGGTCCAAGGCGGCCCGACACCTGCATAGCGTTGTTGTGCGTCCTGGCGCGGCCGATCCGAATCGGTTTCGAGTCCGTGCTGGTGCAGCCCGAGGCGACGCACCTTCCGGTTCGATCCGATTCCTCGGTTCGAGGCTGAGCGCTCCTAGTCGCGGTTGGCACATACCAGCGTTTGGCCTTCGCTGTTTTGAAATCGGTTCGCCCCTACCATGTAGTCCTATGTGTGCGTCGCCCCCGACTCGAGGCCGAGCGCTCGTAGACGCAGATGGCACATATCAGCGTTTGTCCTTCGCCGTTTTGAATTCGGTTCGCCCAAACCTATAACTTCGGCAACACCCCAACATACGTATACTATGTGTTCGTCGCCCCCCCAGGGGCGACACGCGCACCGAGAAATCTTGTAGTATATGCGTCGTGGCGGGCGCATTCTGGCCACACCGCTCGAGAAACGATATACTACAAGATGGGTATACTATATGTTCGGGTCGGACGCGCGCCTCCAAGGCGGACATACAGTATTAGTATGTCTCTGTGCTTCCCACAAACCTATAACTGATAGTACCGTGTGTGCGTCGCCCCCAGAGGGGCGACCCGCGCGCTCTCAGACATCTTATACAGTCCCTGTTCGGTGGCGGGCGTTTTCTGGCCATACCGCTGGAGAGCGAGATTGTGGTTGTGCTGTATGATCTGGTCGGACGCACGCCGTCACGGAGGACACATCGTATCCCATGAAAGATTTGGGCATTTTCGCCTTTCTGCGGTTCCGACCGTCCAAGGTGGCCCAAGAGGCCTCAAGTATCGCCCCGAGAGAGCCCAAGAGGCTCCCAGAAGGCCCCACCACGGTCCACGAGGGCCCCAAGACGGCCCCAGAGGTCCCCTGGAGGGCTCAAGAGCTGGATGCACAGGTGGTCATATGGTCTTCCAGCGCGTGGCCCTTCTACGGCCAGGCACGGTGGGCCTTCGCATATCATTTAGCGAGAGGCCTCTCCACTTTACATTTGTGAATCGAGCCATGTGCGCCCCCAGCTTCCTTGTATATTCCGGGTGGTTTCCCAGCCTTGGAGTGCCTTCCAGCAGCTGCACCTCGCCGAGGGCGTCCCTGGGGTGCCCAGATCGTCCCGAGCGACCTCTGGAGATTCGACCCGAAAGCCAGACCTCTTCGCGTTTTGAGCCAGCCTCGATGTTTTCGTTCAGGTGTCGACTGGGGGGCCCTCATGGGGCCCCAGGACCGTTCACAGGATGAAGCGCCAGTCTGGGGCTTTCACGTGGTGAAGAATGGCGTCCGAAGCCTGGACTTGCCACCATGAAGAACAAGGGCATTGAGGCATTGCCGCCTGTGGCCCCCCAGGGCCTTTCCAGGGCTACGGGGACCGTCTAAAGCCAATCGGGGCCCAAGACCCATTTCCAGCGGATCCTGCGGATAGCCACGGGGCCCGATGAGGAGGAGGAGGAGGAGGAGGAGGAGGAGGAGGAGGAGGAGGAGGAGGAGGAGGAGGAGGACGAGGAGAGAGGAGGAGGAGGAGAGAGGAGGAGGAGA